TTCTACACTTGATCGCGTGGGGGGAAGGGGAGGGGAGGGAAGGCGCATAGTTAGTTAGGTTACGTTCTCTCTCTCTCTCTCTCTCTCTCTCTCTCCCTTTTGCTCGTTCGCTCGCGCGCATGCTTCTTTTTGCAATCAAACTCGTTCTCATTCACACTTTTCATGCATGTAAACAACAACATAGCAAACTGGCGACATGCGCCCACACAAAACTCAGAGATATAGCTCCCAGATACGAGTTCACTCTCAACTGGCTATGGCGACTCAGCGCCCAAACAACTCACTGTTCACATGCACTGGATCACCCTGGATATCCCACACGCGTCACTTTGCACTCTCACACACACACTCACACTTCACACTAAACTACAGCTATGGCAGCTATGGCTGCCTCTACCCTATCGCTATGCTACGCTCCTTCACTCTCGCCCACTTCGTCCTTCAGGCATGCTGCAGACCTCCTTGCACAAGTCGCTGTGGCAGCGCTTCCGCATGGCTCATGCAGGAATGAATGAAAGGCTGGGTGCTGCCTCTTGATTTATACTCCGGAAACTCGTTGGTCTGCCCTTTGCCATCGGCCCATGGTGCTCACAATCCCCCCGTGGTACTTGCTGGAGTGGACTGGGACTGACTGGACCTTACCGCTGACTGACTGAGGACTCACTGCTATCCTAGCGAGGACGTATTGCGATTGCACTGCAGTTTAGTCCACCACTTGCCTCGCCGCTCAACCACTTGCCCACTTGCCGACCTTCTAGAAGGGCTACAGGTAAGCTTTTGGAACTCACTAAAACTTCTACTCTATAGATCTACAGATCGAACCCCTGCTACCTACGGACCTATGACAGACCTACCAACTGTCTACGAATACACAGGTCACAGGTTCAATTCTCGGGGTTTACACAAATATTGTACATGGGTAGGACGAGGTCTAGGGATCGAACCCTGGGTACTGCATCGACTACTGCTAAAAGGTGAAAACCGTGTCACTCCCGCCGTCCTAAATTCGAGGTCCTTCGAGAATGTTTCAGTGCAAGGCAGGACCTTTACCCTTCTTATCATGCTCATAGGCTCTGACTATGTCGGGAGCTGTTTCTAGAAGTTCTGTTCTTGTGAACCAGCGGTCGTCTTCCGGTTCCTGATAAGCAAATCGGACCTTATACTATTTCTGTGGACGACCTCTCCCTCCTGTTCTGAAGACATCCTCGTCTACAATGCCGTCAATGTCATAGCTTCCATCCATATCCGGAGGGATCATGGCTCTCCTTGAAGGGAATAGTTGACTTGTGACACACGGCAACAACTTTGAAGCATGGAACATCGGGTAGGTGTGGAGGTGTCCTGGAATCTCATTACTGTAGGACGGTCCATCTTCTCCGCCCTTGACTTCTAGAACCGGCCACGCCCCTCTGTACTCCGGCAGTAACTTTTGCGAGATGTTTTCCTCAGGTGCAAACTCTTTAGCCTTGACCCAGACTAAGTCGCCTACCTGAAACTGTGACGGGCGACGATGCTTATTAGCCTGTTCTATCATTCTGTGCTGGGCCTTCCTGAGGTTCTCTATAACTGTTGCTAGTTCCTTCTCATGTTGTATCGCAAACTCCCTTGTCCCGGGCGGTAGTCTGTGAATCTAATCCCGGTTCAGTCCTTCGAATGGTCCGCGCGGTCTGAAGGATTTGTGCAGCTCATTGGGAGTGCGACAGGTGGATAAATGCACACTATTATTGTACACACTAGCTACCTTGGGTAACATCTCATCCCAATCGATTTGATCGGGTCTAATGTACATGCGCAGAACTTGCTGTAGGATCTTGTTCATCTGTTCAGTCTGACCGTTCGTCTCTGGGTGGCGGCCAGACGACATCGACAACTTAGATCCGTAGACTCTCATGAGTTCTTGCCAATTCTGGCTGGTGAAACGACTATCTCTATCGCTGACAATCGACAAAGGGATTCCATTCTCACTAACCCAAAAATCAACGAACTTTCGTATAACTAAGTCTGTGCGTGCCTCTGCAGGCAAAGGAACAAAAATTGCATACTTACTAAAACGGTCAACTGTGACCATGACTTGGCTTTTTACTATGTCTGCTCTTGACTTGGGTGTCCATGAAGTCTATGGACACTGAGTCTACCGACTGATCCGGAATAGGCAAGGGTTTGAGAAGACCTAGAGGGGCGCGCGTAGTGCTCTTGTTACGCTGGCATACTTTACAACTGCGGACGTATTCTATGCAGTCGTTCTTCATTCCTGGCCAACTGTACGCGCACATTAGATTAGCTAGTGTCTTTTGCCAACCGAAATGCCCCTCAGTATCGTGGCATTCCCCTAGGATCAAAGTGCGGATCTCTTCGCTGTTGGGAACGCACAGGCGGTCAAATACATTAGTCTTCTCAAACAGCAACCCGTCTGTAGTGCAGTAATCTGGCTCAGTCTCCGGGGCCTCTCTAACTCTCTTTAGGAGGTCGCTATAGATAGGGTCCTGCACATACGCTTGCTTCACTTTCTCCTGCAGGTCTCTCCCTATATCCAGATAGTGTACTATGGCTCCAAAGTAGTCTGATCACCTATTTAGAGCATTCGCAACTACGTTGTACTTGACCTTCACTGGCTTAAGCTCATAGTCATATTGGTGTATCTCAGCATCCCACCTAGTTAGCTTAGGTGTCATCTTGGCCTGAGTCTTTAACCAACGAAGCGTCTCATGGTCAGAATACACTTTGAAGTGCCTCCCAAGCAGGTAATGCCTCCATTCCTTTAAAGCCTGCCTGAGAGCGTAGAGTTCTCTCTCGTACGTGGAGGTAGCAACATTCTCTGAGGGCATCCTCGCTGACATGAACTCTACGGGTCTATAGCCATTGCCGTCGTCTTGCTGCAACACGGCGCCTATTCCATACTGACTTGCGTCCGTGGTGACGACAAATGGCAAAGAAGGATCGACTACTTTGAGGACAGGGTACTCTATCAAGGGGCGCTTTAACTTCTTTAGCGCAGACGTACAGTCTTTGTCCCATTGCCAAATTGCTTCTTTCTTAAGCAACCTGCGCAGGGGAGCGACGATAGTGGAGAAGTTCCTCACGAACTTCCTATAGTAGTTAGCTAAGCCTAGGAACGACCGCAACTCTGTCAATGTGCGGGGCGTCGGCCAGTCTCTAATCGCCGCGATCTTGCTGTCCTCTGGCTTAATGCCATCTCCGTCTAATACGTGGCCCAAGTACAGGACTTGTGTCTTGGCCCACTCGCACTTCTTCGCGTTGATCTTGAAGTTAGCCTCTCTAAGCTTCTCCAAGACCTGCCTTAGATGACCCTGGTGCTCCGGGAGGGTCTTACTGAAAACTAAGATATCATCTAAATGAATACTACGAACTTGTCTAACCATGGCCTAAACAGGTCATTCATACAACGCTGAAAGGTGGTTGGCGCGTTGGTTAGTCCAAAGGGCATCACTATAAACTCATAGTGCTCGTATCTAGTTCGGAACACAGTCTTGTACTGGCCATCAGGATGGACCTCTATCTGATGATAACCGGACTTCAAGTCTATCTAAGAGAAATACTTACAACCCTGCACCCGATCTAAAAGATCGTCTATCCTGGGAAGGGGCTCAACATTCTTCCCAGTAATCGCGTTCAAACCCCTATAGTCTATACACATTCTCAACTCTCCTTCCTTCTTGGGGACAAACAACACTGGTGCTCCAAAAGGAGACGAACTGGGCCTGATCCAACCTTTTTCGAGGAGCTCGTCTAACTGCTTGTGCAGCTCCTCTCTAGGGGACATTCTGTAAACTGCACCCTTAGGAGTTCTACTGCCAGGCTCTATTTCTATTCGGTGCTGGATGGGTCGCGACACTACTCCTGTCGGCGACTCGGTCAAATCTTTGAACTCTTCCAGCAGCTTGGCAATCGTTGGATCTGTGGAACTATCCTTTTCCTTGGCCTCAGTGACAGGCCTAACATAAACTACAAAGACCTATTCTTCTAATCGCTCCTTCTTCACTAACCGCGCGAACGCGGGAGCACTGGGACAGCAATGTGCCAAGGTGTTGTCACATGAAACAGGCGAGCAGTCTTAACTTCGCCTGACGGGTTAGGGAGCCTACACTCGTGCTCTCTCAAATGGAGTGTGGCCCCTGCTGCCTCACCCCAATCCATTCCTAGCACGACATCATAAGGAAGGTCATCCTGTACGAGGAGAGTCAGGGAATGGAGAACTTTCTCCACCTTCCCATCCTTCTCTAGGTGAAAGTACGCCTGGACTCCCTCTACATAGTCCTCAACGCACATCGTGCGGTTGTCTGCGAGGACACTGACTATGGGGTCTGTTAACTTCTGGACCTTTAGTCCTAGCCTCAGCTTCTTCGGCGCTCTACGGCTAATATAACTGCGGGTAGCCCCTGAGTCTATAAAGCCCCTACTCTATTCCTGAAAACTTCTACATCTACCAAAATTAGTTGTCCTTTACTCTCTTTCTTCATCTTGGCCCACGCTGGCATCCTTTCCTTCAACTCTTTTGCCACACCTGTGAGGGACGTGCCTAAAGAGACGCTAACACAAGCAGTCTCTAGACAGCTATCTAGGCATGGGCCTGCAACTTCTGCCATAGGCTCATGTGGGTTGGGAGTGTCCTGTTCGCGCGCTCACTTCTCCACATGGCCTTAAAGTAGGGGCAGTTGCAACCCCTACTGGTGGCTGCCTTTTGACTCCTGGGCAGCCCAACGGGCTTGTCTATACTTTGGACAAAATTTAATGACATGGGCCGGGTCACCACAGAATATGCACTGACCCTGGTCCACGCGCTCCTGCCATATGCGCTGGTCCAAGCCCAAATCTTCCCATGGCCTGCCCTGTGGCAAGCCTGGGTGCCATCCTCCTTGAGGTGCCCTTCCACCTCTTCGCTGTGGGGATCGATCATAACCCTGGCGATTTGGCGGGGGACCTTGACCCCTACCTCCCACTTGGCGGTTTCCCTGTCCGCCAACCCCCTGTGCGCCCGGTCCTCGGCCTCCCATGGCTTGGCCCCTTTGGCCCTGGCCTCCTCCTCTACCTTGCGGCCTCCCTACAGCCGCGACAGCATCATAAGACCTCCCCTGTCCCATACTACTGTCCTCTTCCTCTAGGCCCCACTCAATCTGACTGTATGGGACCTCATCAGTACCACCTTCCTCTAAGGTAAGGATCATGTGATCCTTGGCCTTGACTTGGCCAGAGATGGTACGACCCTTCCACCTTTTGCCCTTTTCTAAGTCCTTATGCCAGAAAGTGGAAACTGGCATGGACTTGGCCTCAAACAGCACCACCTCTCTACTGAGAGCATCGTACGTCATGGTGGGCTGTTGGGACTTATCCAAAAAGTGCCCACGCAGGGGCTCTGGCATGGCACGATAAAATAATTGGACCAATTGGGGCTCAATGACCCCATGGTCTGGGACGGCTATCAAGTCGTCCATAACGCCCTTGAGTGCCTTGGCACGCCTCCACTGCCGTGAGTGGATCGATTGGAGCTTGTTAGAGGCTCTGACGCCTCTGCGAAGGTCAGTGAAGCGCTCTCTAAGGAGCTTGAAGAATTGAGGGAGGGGGGTGACCTTGGAATAGGCGACCATGTTGTTTTCACAACCGGCCGCGCGTGCGAGAGACCTAGCGAAACTAGCCGCTTCGTCCTTGAGGGCCTGGAAGGCTTCCAGGACTTGATCGTCCTGCACGATGTGCTGTAGGCAAACGTAGTTGTTTACACTAGCCTCCCAGTTATCGAAGTTCTCGTCTGACTTCCCCCCATAAGCATCAGGGAACTTGAGTTTGACCGGTTCTTTGCGAGGTATGACCTCGCCCTCAGCAACGGCTTTGGCGCCCTCAATGGCACCCTCACAGAACTTACCCACGTTGTCTCTCAATCTCCTCACTTCTCCTCCAACGTGGGTGACCAACTCGCGCGAGAATTCTCTAAACCCGGACCGCATGGCACTCAGTGCTACCTCTTGGCTGCTATTGGCCTGGTGCTCCTCCATCCAGACTGCACTCAACACTTCCAGGCATCCCAACACCTTATCCCATTTGGCCTTGTCGTCCGCCTGAGTCTCCACCTCCTGCCTACAATCTTTCATTTTTGCCACCTCTGCGGTCAATCTGTTGACTTCATCCCTCTTTTTCTCCCTCTTCATTCTCAACTTCCACTCTAACTTTTTCTCCTCCTCTCTTTCTTGTCTTTCCAGGGGGTCATCCATTGCTGCTAGCTCCTGGGCTAACGCATCCCTTTCATCCTGAGGCACATAGAACTCGGCCTCCTCATCCTCCCCCAGCGATAAATTAGCAATCCACCCGCTGATCTTTTTCTCCATCTCTGCGTCCTCGTCGTTCTTCGTGCCACTACTCCCTTCTCTACTTTCGATACGCATCCTCTCTTTTTCTTCTTCTTCTGCTGCTTCTTCTTCGACAACCTTTCTCCTCTCTTCCTCCTCCTGATGAACTCTCTTCATCTCCTCCTCCAATCTCTTCATCTTCGCCGCCTGCTCCTCTGCAATCGTCTTTAACTTAGCCTGCTTTAGGAGCTCTTTTCTCTCCTTGTTCTCTCTTACTAAGGCGGCCATCTTCTCTTGCTGCTCAGGGGTGTAGGGGCTAGTATCTTTCCCACTATGGGTCTCAACCATGGTGATAAGTGTACAACCGGGTAGTGGTTCCAAACCTCACCACATAGACTCTAACCCCTGACTGACAAACCTATTGACTCGATCTAAGACTCGCAGAATCTGGACAAGGATCCTGTCAACTATGGTCTCTAGCCTGGACCTAACTATGGCTGTCACTACTAGACCTTTTGCTGATCAGGAGGCATTTAAGGAGATCCCCTGAACTCCGCAGGAATTATTTAACGTCACAGACAGGACGACGCGATCAGCAGGTCTCTCAAGACTTAGACGGTCTGTTGTGCAGCCCACAGCTCGGATTTCGAGGCCTACCATGCCACACCGAGCAGCCCGCCGGTCAGAACCGGTCCTTGGGAGGGTTTGACCTCCGGGACAGTCGAGTTGTCAGACACAGCTTTTAGCCCTACTCATCCCGTGTGGGTTTGGTCAACAAGATCCTATCCTTCATCCACAGAGTACGATCACCTAGGACAGAAGAGACTCAATGGAGAAAGAATAGACAGACAGACTGGACTCAGCAAGTACCAAGGGGTGTGTGCACATCCATAGGGCAAGGGACAGGCTTAGGGCTTGGCGAGATGTTACCAACTCCAGCTTGGTCAAAGTCTTGGTCAACGGCTTGGTCAACGGCCTTGTTCAACGCCGGTCAACGCTGCTTTCAACCCCCGGTCAACTCTCTTGGTCAACCCTCCTGTCAGCTATGGCTGCCGGCTCCTCTTCCCTGCCAACCCTCTTCTTCCTCTCGCCTCTCTCGCCCCCTTTCACCCCGGCTATCTGCTTCTTCTCTTTCTTTTTTTTTTTTCTTTTTTTTGGTTCGGCCTTCTCTGCACTTCTCGGCTATGGCCTTCTTCTCTCCCTTCTCGGTCTCTCCCCCTCTGTTCGTCTCTCTCCCTCCTTCGTTACTCCGTGATGATGCTCCGCGGCTATGGCCTCCACGTGGAACTGCACCGTCCACTTCACAAGTACGTAACAGCCAAACTTGTATCACTCATCTCTCTCTCTCTCTCTCTCTCTCTCTCTCTCTCTCTCTCTCTCTCTC